TCCAGGGTAGGATAGCAAAGCCCTCTTTTCCACTTCTTCCATGTACAAATTGGCCACGATGGGTGAAACTGGGGAGCCCATGGCACACCCATGTTTCTGCCTGTAGGACTGACACTTGTATGTGAAGTAGGTGGAATGAAGACACAGTTCAAACACACTTGGTCGGTGCTGAGAGTGGTCCTGTTGCTGAGGTTGGGGTCATCCTGTAATCTATTTACGGACTACCTCCAACGCTTCCGTGACTGGGATGCAAGAAACGTTTCTCCCACTGAAAACCCTACATCCAGATGAACAGAATCAACTTTTGGAGAGTCACTTCATGTTATTGATGCTCCTGTAACAGGACCCAATGTAAATAAAGTTTTTTTTACTTACCTGGATGATTGAAAAAGCATAAAAAATATATATATAATCTTTGCACAATTGTGCAAAGTGGCATTTTTCAACGCCACTTTGCTGCCGGCGCGCGAGGAGCGCCGCATCCACCTGCCACGCGGCCAACCTCCGGACTAGCTTTGCCGACGCTGCTGGGTTCGCGGGCGGCCACGTGAACTCACAACTCCCCGTCGCTTGGCCAGGTCCCGGGGGCGCAGACGGTCCGGGCTGATCCCCTCTCACGCTCGCGGTGGAGGGAGTAGGTTCAGCCGGATGGTTCCCCGGCCTCAGTCGGGCGATGGGGGAGCCCCACTGAATTAAATATTGTACTGGGTCCTGTGGTTGGCGTTGTGATAATGTTGAGCGGGCAGCGGGAGAGCTGCAGCTCTGTGAGTATTGTGGACAGCAACCGTCAAAGCATTAATAAAAAGTATCAAAATGCCACTGGGTCTGCTGTGTATGTTTACACATATAGTTAGGGCTGGATCAGGTGAATCTACCCATGACCCTCTTAATGAACAACCCCCACTACAGTTTAAATACATGGGATGATCCATCAATTAATTTTAGACCTGGTGAAGCCTCTTGGATGAAATATGTTCACAAAATTAAAGATGTCCAGTTGTTTTCTTTCCAAACTCCTCAGGCTTCCGTGACCTGACTGAGGACCTACACTGAGACTTATCATTTAGTTCTATTTGTCTACTATTTATATTTTATTCTGGCACAGTTGGTGTGCAGCACCCACAATTTTGTTGTACAAGTACAACAACAATAAAGGGCTACTCTATTCTATTCTATTCTATTCTATTCTATTCTATTCTAGCTCTACAGGACCTCCACATCTGTCATTTTATGTGGCTTATAAATGATCTGAATCACTGTCTCTTAAATCTGTTGACTTGATGATGATCCTTGTCTCACTGAGGAAAGTGAGATGATCTGATGATCACTGCAGGCTGAGAAAGAACACACTGAACATGATTGCTCTACAACTTTAAACAATAAGTTAATGAAAGTGGAGTGAGCACTGACCCATCAGGTAGTCTTTGACTTGCTGAATAAGCTCTCTGGTTTTGTTTTTCTCTCTCTCACACGAGTTTGTATTGTTGTTGATCTGGTCCTGCAGATCTCTGGCCCAGTTTTTGGCATCCCAAGTCATCTCACTGGCATTATTGATCTGACAAAAGAAATCACCTTTTAAAAGACTTAGTTTGTGGAGAGGGATGTGAAATATTACACTATGGTAATTGGTCTACACGTAAGTTTATAATGCTACAACACTAGCATCTGCAATATTAAAAACATCTTTGTGAGGAAGAAAAGAAAGTGTGATTTGAGTCATCAAATTGAAAAAAACATTTCTGTTTGTTCATTCAAAAAAGTAAAACAGGAAGAGCTCTACTGTTCTGTCGATCACACGCAAATATCAAAGAAATGTAGATGCAAAACTCACTGGTCTCGTCAAATGACACCACAACACACCACCAACACACTTCCAAACCAATGTGGTGCTTGGTAAGAGGCCTGCAGGTGTAACCTGTGTTTAACCCTCACCCACTCCCATAGAGATTAGAGCATTCACCAGTGTTTCCAGTATAGACCTGCCTTGTTCTTGGTGTCCTGCAGTCTGGAAGGCAAATTCACGAGCTGGTCTTTCAGCTTCTCTGCAGTCTTTGAAGCATTCTCACTGACAGGAACAGCTCCTTTACAGTTTGGACTTCCGCACTTCCTTTTCCCCAGATCACTCCCACAAAGAGCTCCAGTACACCCTGAAGAGTCCTCCAAACCTGGATCGCCACAGACCTTTTTCGCATCACAACAAATTGCTTAAACAGTATTCACATTTACCCAGCGGTCAGTGTTGATTTGATCATATGCAATCAATGATTTTCACAGCAGCATTGAGACAACAGGACAATCAGCTATTCATTTAATCCTGCAGCTACTCATGTGATATATTAGTCATATGACAGTTCAGTGTTTACATTGTAGGGTTTTTGGTTTGTTTGTTTGTTGACAAACTGCATCTGGTTGTTCTAGATTGGTCATTTTCCAACAAAGAACAATTTCCATGTTTACATCATCTTATCTTGACTTCATGAAAGGTAGGTTTGGTGTTGGTGATGTCTTGCCTAACATCATTGGGTCAAACAAAATTCATAGGTTTGTTCTTTGTAGAAAATGTGCCAGTGGTTTTCAGGTGTACCTGTGTGACCTGTACTGGCTAAAACAGGTGTGGTTTGCTCAAGGCAAGGAGACGCTCGACATTTTGTCTAAGTGTTCGGGTTTTCTAATGGAGAGTGCTGTAAACTAAACATGTCTGCTGAGTTTGGCATCAACTCTGATCTGCTGAACTGTGATTGTGATTTAAGTGCCTTGAGACAACAGCTTTAAGGTTTGGTGCTATGTAAATAAACCTGAATTGAACTGCATTTAAATCATTGGCTAAAAATTTATTGAATTTATTGATCACCATGCCCTCCAGTTTTATAGGAGCTGAGTTGCTCCCAGTCAGTGACCTCACCACAGTTTCAAACTCAAACCCTTGTGACCTCTTTGGTAAAGGTAAAGATAGTCACCTTCTGTTTGAGCTGAACCACACTCAGCTCTGTGACCTTCTTCTTCAGCAGTGCAAGGTCTCCTGTATTGCACATGCTCAGTTTGTGTTTGACTTCCTGTCTGGTGTCTATGGAGTCCTCTACAGCTTTGCCGACATTTCCCACCCTCTCATCCTCCAACATGAAGAATCTGTAAAGCGTCTGTATCTCATCCAACAGCTCTACAACAGGTTCAGATGAGACACGCGCTAAGCAGAGAAAGTGAAATCATGAAACATGAAGTTTGCTCTGTGATGAAAACAAAGGTTTATGTTTAAAAAGATGAATTCATTGCCTGACAAATAGATCTGCTCTGTTTTTAACTGAACCATGAAAGCAGTTTCTGAGAATATTTATTTGTAATATATATTTTTATTTGTTTCTTTACTTTCTGTTAGAGATAAGTGAACATTTTTAGTTATTTAGCTTCACATTAAGACCGTGCATGTCCTGATCTTTAATTTAAATGTGGAGTCTTCAAAAAGTCAGAAAAGGATCATGTGTAGTTTATCTAAAGATGTTTAAAATCCTCTGATGTGACCAGAACGGAGGTGATTTTAAAAACAAAACATATAAAAAAAGTAATCTTTGTACCTTTCTGTTGGTCATTTACGTTATTAGTTGGCACACTGGTGAGTTTTTTCTTAAGGTTCATGATTTCTAGATGAATGTCGTCAATTTCAGTGTTGAAGAGGGGAGACATGTCCATCAGGATCACATTTGTGTCGATGGCATCTTTCGCCTTCCTGTGAGATAAATACACTCTGATTATTCAGCATAAGCTAAATCTTCCTGAGCGCTCTTTGATTGCACAGTATTGTGAAAAAGTCTTGAGTCAACCTCATTTCTTTATATTTTGCTAAGTTAAAGGCAAATATGTGACTATTTATTGAAACATGCAGCCATAAATTGAAATAGATAAAAACAGACTGCACAATTCTAACAAACTTGAACGTCAGTATTTGGTATGATCACCTTCATTCTTCAGCACAGATTGAGCTCTCTGAGGTAGCTTTCTGTAATTTGTTTTAGTCCACAGAAAGAGTTCTCCACGCTTCTTGAAGGACATCCAAAGTGCTTCTTTGGATGATGATCCCATGCTTTAATATTGTGGATGTGCAGGCTATGGGGAAGCAACTCCATGTCTAACAGTATTCTGTTGTGTGTTTTGGTTTTACATGGTTTTGTATGGTGGATCAAACCTGATGGTACTTTTCTGCATTCATCAGTTTTATCAAAGATCTTAATGCTGACCACCTCCTTTAAATTTGTCAGTCCGTCAGATTTTAGTTTAATACATTTTTTGGCATTTCTTAAGGACATGACGTTTTAGACACTGTTCATCTGAAATGTTCATATTTTTTAGGCCTGGCACTTCAGATATATATCAAATTTCCTTCCTCAGAATCTGGTCAGGTACAAGAACTGGACTGAAAATGAGTAAAAAAGCAGCCTATGTCCAAAGAAAAACTTTGAAAGACCTTCAGAAACTATGCTCAAAAACACTTTACAAAATTATGGGAAAGTCTGGCTCCTTGGAAGCAAAATATAAAGAAATGAGGGGTGACTCAAGAGTTTTCCAGTGTACTGTATAATTTTAAATTTAGCATTAGTGGAGTTCCTTTTAAGTTCATCCTCTCATGACTTACCTAACCCTCAAAGACATTTTCTCCAGTTTCTCCATGCTTGGTGGGGAGATTACTCTCAGGTTGGCCAGGCTGTCCAGCATAGAGTGCATGTTCATCATCTCCTGCAGGTGCTGGTTATCTGTGGACTGTACATTGTTATGAGGGATAAGTGTCCTCATTTTCTGGGCAGCTCGCTGGACATCAGTGACAATTTGAGTCCAGAGTGCGTTGCAGGGATGGCACGGTTCACAGGCTGGGAATAATGTATTGAAGCCGGGCGTGCACTCATCACAGAATATACCGCTTACACCCGCCCGGCAGATGCACTTGCCAGTCTCAGGGTCACATGATGGTTGTTTGGTTCCCTCCAGGTTGCAGTCACAAGCTGAAAACAAGATAAAACATGGTGTCTTTGCATGAAAACAAGGGGGATTTAGAAAAGGTTAAAGTGGACTTGCGCTGCTGCTACTTAAAATACACTTTCCCCCAATAAACTGTAAACTCAATAAATCAGCGTGTCTATGCCTTAAAAGTAGAATGGGAGGCAGAGCCTTCAGTTTTCAGGCCCCTCTTCTGTGGAACCAGCTTCCAGTT